CTTCAAATGAGATTCTAGTGAGCAAAAGTTTGTCATGTGTGTTTGAAGGTCTATGGTAATGAAAAAACAGTGGAAAACATAGATGGCCTATGTAGACAAACTATTCTTGGGTACAGCTAGATTTACCAAGTGTAGCTCCCATGCAAGATTTCATTTTGATCAGTAACTGCTGTCAGTTTGACTTAGAAGTATGTGTGGCCAAAGCAAAAATTTTAATCCAAAGTTAAGATACAATCTTGTTTGTTGCTTTTCACCTAATAATTAACCATATCTCTGATATTACAGAAATTGAAGAGGTGATACTGTGTGCCATATGTAGGGATGGACACTGAAATAATGTGTGCTTAATTGTTGTTGGGATTTGAATTTTGTGGAGGAAGAGATAGTAGTTTAAATGAGATCGATGTCTTCTATAATGTGGAAATTGTGCAGGTGTTCTCCAGAATTTCTGCACTTAGGCACACAAGGTCATTAAGTGTTTATTTTCACTGAATTCTCTCCAGTAATATCTGAGCAGTATCCAGATTATGTAACTTCCAATAATAAAGATTTTCATGTTTCTCTGATTTTTTTTTAAAACGAATATATATATATTTTTAAGGTGATTACTTTGGCTGTTGCAAGTTGCTGGAAGCGGATTAGTAGAATATAGACTGTTAAAGTAACAAGAGGTATGCTATCATATTTCTCAAATCATATATAATTTTGTTTTTCATTCACTTGATGTTCATGGGAAATCTGCTCTCTCTTGAGTGTGTTGCACAGTCATTTAAGGTAGGATTTGTCTGACTTAACTTTGACTGAGTAACAGCTAGGTGTCTAGTCCAAGGCTATGATTTCATGAACATCTGAGCTCATGATGTGACAACTCTGCTCCTGAAATGAGAAAGCCTTGCTCCTCCTCCTGCCTATTTACTTGGCTCTTTGTTCCTTTCTCCTAGCCAGTACCAGCCACCTACTTTCACTGATGATGTAGCTTGTTGGGTTTTTTAATGAACTAGTGTGACTCACTGACCTCACAGAAAAACTATGGATTGTTTTCTGCTTGTTTAAGCGCATTGGCTTCTTGAGTTAAATAAGTTCAAGGAAGGGTCTGATGGATGACAGCCGTAGGAATGGGCATGAAGAAAGGAGGAGTGGAGCCTCCCATCCTGGTGACAGCGAGCTCTTGTATTGGATTGCACTTTTTCATTAGTTCATTATCTAGTCTTACTGTAGACTCTTAAGCAGGGATGAGAAGGGTAGTGTTTGAAGAGTCACTTTCATGAGGCTGTGCTTCCTTTGAGTGTCTCACTCTTTCAGGCAAATTGTTGTTTCACAAGACCTTGACTGATTTGATTAGAAAAAAAGAAAAGAAAGAGCATATGAAGAGGCCTAGAATTCTGACAGAGGCAGGCAGTGGATGAAATCTTACACTGTGTGAAACAGCTGTTTGGCTTTCACCAGATTTTACTGAGAATTTTACTGCTTGAACAAAACATGGCACAAGGCTAAATAGGGTTAATCTTTCTCATCAATAGTTGGAAAATGACACTCATTGTATTGTCTAGCTGCTTAAAATAGTGTTCAAATACAGTAAATTCTTGTGTTTTAAGAGTGGCTGTAGTATGGAAAGCAGAGCCATGAGTGAGTTATTTATGTTACCCCCAGATAAATTGTCAGTACATGCTGAAATTGTGTAATTTGATTATGCTGGGTAAGTTAGAAGAAGAAGTAAGTTAGAAGATATAAATAAGTATCTTGATATCTTCATGTTTTTCTCTAAATGGAAACCTTGTTATTGTAAACAACATACAATAAAAAGAAAAATTGTGATATAAATAAATATCTTGATATCTTCATGTTTTTCTCTAAATGGAAGTATTCTCACCATTTTAAGTGCTGGTAGCAAACAGAAAGTTAAAATAATATAGCTGAAAAATCTTGTAAAAGAGGAAAAGCCCTTTCATAATGTGTAGATATAAAGGAGAGATGTGGAGTAGGCCTTTAAGCAATGTTTCTCTTTGTATGGAAAAAACAATTGAAGAAGAAAAACAAAGGTGGTTCTTAAACGTAATTGAGTTACTTCAGTTAGCTAGATATTCTAGAATAAATATTGCTGTTTTAGCCACTGAGTGTGCATTTCCTGCGTTTCAGGACTCTTCACCGATACCTTTGTATGTGTACTTGCACAAGATGATGTTAAGATTTCATAGTATGAATTTGGGGCAACTGATACAAGCTTTCAATTCTGTAACATGATACAGTTTGGCCAATATATAGGTGGAGAATTAATTTTAGATATGATGTGGTTTTAGTGTCTTTAAAGTATGTTTTATGGTTCTCTACTTGAACAGATCTCCAAGAGAGGAAGAAATTTTAACTGGTGTTCCTTTAAAGTATTTCCCAAAAAATGGGTGTAGTCTTGTGTAATTTTGAAGATTATTTAAGGTCTGCTCACTCACTATGAGCAAGTAGTCTAAGCCATTAGCACAGAAAAAATTCTTGTTAGTAATATACTTAGAGTATTTGTAGCCCTAACTGGTTTTTGACTATTGGCAGTTCACTGCCAGGAATTATTTTATGATTTGGGGGAGGAAAAAAAAGTATTTTATTTGCAAGATTGTGAGTAGGTTAAATATTACAAGTTGCTATTAATGATTTTAAGGAAAAAGCTCTTGTGAAGCAATGAAATCTCTCTTATTTTAGTTTATTTCCGTTATCACCAGGAATAAAAAAAACTTGCCACTAGATGTCCCTGCAAGCCAAACCACTTTTGCTTCCTTCAATACCTGCTGCTTAGGTTTTTGCAGTCTGAAACCATTGTTTTGTAAGCTACAATTTTTCCCTCTGTTCTTTCCTTTTTTCTTTTTCATGAAACCTTTGTGCAGGTGACTACATGACCAGGTGTGTGTCTTTCTTTACAATCTGTGCACTTTTTGATAGTAGCAAAAGCTGTGAGGGGAGAATATATTTCCCACCTGCAGTAGCTTGGAGCTGGGAGTACAAAAGGTTGCAATTGCATGTATTTTTTTATTTGGGTTGATCTGCTCTCAGAAAATGCTGTGGGTTTTAGTTGCCTTTGACTTTGTATCTGTTGTGCCACTTCAGAAGTACTTCTTACTCAAGTAAGCTGCAGGATTCAGACCTTTAAATATTGTGTTCCTAATTCTGAGCTTTGGCTTACAGTTTGATTTTTTTTTTTTTTTTTTTTTTAAACAGCGATCATGATAACCCTGTTGGCAGGCTTAGAAATTCTTAGGGATATGCTGCCTTAGGTTTTATCTGTGGTCCAGAACTTTCTGTCCTCTCACATGGTTTATTGTCCTTAGGATCACTGACCAGTTCTCCTCATACAGCTGTTGGTTTAACAATTGAAAATGTATTTATATTGAGTTTGGAAATTGCTGTTGTCCTTTTTTTCCTCAACAACCAACACAATTCAGGAATGAAAAACAGACACTGTATTGATTAGAAGGTTCTTCAGAACTTGTGCTATTAATGTTTGAAATTGGTTGTGCATGTAGGACAGGCACTGAGGAGAATGTTCTTTATTATGATTCCTTCCCCCTTAGCCTCTCAGCAAATTCAGGTCAAACAGAATACAAGGTTGCTGTTGTTGCTTTGCCTTTACTAGTATTGTAACTCTGGTAGATTTTCCCCCGACCTTTTCCCATCTTAGTGATGGAGGAAGGAAAAATGGGAAAGAAAGCTGAAATGTAAGACTTTCTTGACATTATTATGTCTTTTTGTGGAATAGGCACTGACATGCAACCTTTATTTTCCTATATAGAAGATAGATTTTAATCTTGCTTATAGTTCAGAGGTTTATAAAATCAAATGGTAGGTGTTTAAGATAGATCCATGAAAGAGTGGAATGCTAGAAAACATTATATATTCAACTGTATGTATAGAGAAAGTGAAATATTTGTGGTGATGGTGGAGGTGTAACATTTTTCCTGTTTGAGTTTTACTTTGTAGAAAGTTACGCTTTGTAACTATGAATTACACGGTGTACACTGCAACCATGGGGTTCTTGGGCGTCAGTCTAGTTATATACCAAGAGCTAAAATGGCAGAGTAGTTGGTTTCAAAGCTTTGTAACTTCCCTAAAATTCAGTTACAGTCCTCTCTCCCCTAGGTCCTTTAGAAGTATCAGTAATGACCAGATTAATACTCTTGCTTCTAATATTGAGAAGAACTAATGAGGCATATTAGAGTACTTCCTCCTTTCTCAGCATCTGTCGATTTGCAGCTTTCTCACACCAATCTGATATTGTCACACTTAGCAAAACTCTTTCTGGAAAGGTCACAAGAAACTGTGAAATAAACTTTGAAAACGAGGAAGTGACATGTATCAGTGATATATTTCAGGGCTAAACTTTGGGCAGCTATCTTCCAGACTGTCCATGAAACCTTAATTCTTCCCCAGAGAGGGCTTGAGAGGAATTAAACATATCTGCTCTTCTTCGTGTATGGAGTAGTACACCTTGAGCCTTGTTCGGGTAGTGTGGCAGACTGTGATAAGTAGTAGTAAAAGCTTGTGTGTCTGATGTCTGTGGCCTCTGCTTGAACTCTGCCTTGTTAACAAGGCATAACTAGGGCATTGCTAGCATAATAGTTTGACTCTCAGTGTATAGCATAAGTAAAAATAACATTTAATGTAATCTGTCAGATAGAAGTGCTTATCCTTATTTTGTATTGACTCAAATAATCTCCATGTTTAAGTTTATTCTGTGCTCCTGGAAGGCCTATTACTTTTGAGGGCAGGCAGAATGAGCAGAGGAGAGTTGCCCTTTCAGTAGAGGCTTCTAACTTGAGTTACAGCAGAGCCAGGATTCTTCTGAAAGCAGAAGCAGTATGGGAAATCTTTGAACTGTGAATGTACTTGATTGCTAATTGCATGTCCTTGTATTTGTTCAGGTGGCTTGATCTTCTGGAATGTCAGCAGAAGAAGTGGATGGTGTTGTACATTAATTAGAAGTTAATTTTTATTTTGTCCTCTCCATACTCATCGTGAACAGTCACCATAAAATGGATACTTTGGGCAATTTCCTTCCTCCTGTGGTTGGAAGTCGTGATGTGGCTAATTCAAAAGATGTACAAAAACTTCTGATCGATGAAAATATGCGAAGTGAATACCATAAAGCACATTATCAATCTATGAAGGCAGAACTTCTAAGGTACACTAATTTAAACAGGTTTCTTCATTTGAGCTGTTAAAAGGTGAAGCTAAATGCTAGGTGGAAGGGATTTGTGTGTGTTAGCTATTTCTCTATATTAAGGACACATCTGAGCGTTGCTCCTATTAGAAAATGAACAGTTCAAAATACCTTGCAACATTGCAGATTATGTTTCTGCAATACTTTTTGTGCTTGTAAATATGGGATAACTTTTCAGTATATTGTAGGAAGAGCATATTAACAGCTTAGTTCTAACTTGGGATTTTTATGTTTGCTTCTACACATGAGTTTTTTGAGCTTTAAGAACTAATTTTACAGGGTAAATATAAAATAAATATGTATTTTTTCTTGCAGATTACAGGAGGAATATACAAAATCACAAGATGAACTGAAGCAGTTGTTAGTTGAAAAGCAGACTGTACATGATAACTTTCAGTTTCTTCTTGCTCAATATCAAGAGGATTTGCTGGCTAAAACACAAGAGCTGGAAAAACTGAAGATGCAGGTGAGAGAATTTACTGGCAGCACTTAATATGAATTTTAATCCTGTAATAGGGCCATGCATATATTTCTGTTTATGTAACATGTATATACTTAGTTTGAATATATTTCAGATATCTTGAAATTCAGCCAGCCTAAGTAATGTTTCTTCTCCAGAGTGACTATGGGTTTAAATTGCTGTTTTCTCGTTTAACGAAATCTTCCAAGTCCTGTTGTTATGTGTGATATTAATAGCAAGACCCTCAGTCTCTATCTCTACATGCTCTCCTGTTATGGGGAGAATCATCTGCCCTGGAGGATAACTTGGATGCTTAACACTGTTAGGATAAGTGACTGAAAAATAGATATTTGTTTCTCTTTGTGATGACAGTTTTCTTAATCTTAAAAAAAACAAAACAAACAACACCCCTCCCAAAAGCCCCCGCCACCAAAAAACCAAACAACCTAGCATTTAAGATAACCTGGATGACATTTTCTATGACCACTTGTTTCCTTAAACCTGGATGACATTTTCTATAACTGCTTGTTTCCTTAAACTAATGCAGGACATGTTCTTAGGAAACAAATACAGCATCTGACAAAGGATCCTAGACTCTGAATGGAGGAGATGTGCCTTGCTACCATAACTAGAATTAGTTCTCAGGGACTTCAGGGTACAGATAAGTGGAAGAAAAGTAGGATAAATTAGAATGTCACAGGTTGTGGATGAAATTTTTTTAAACTCTTTTTCTTGGTACATAGTTTGCTGTATTAACTATATCCAAGAAAACTTAACAAAATACTACGCAGAACAGAGCTTGAGGCAGGGAATCTTTGCTGATCTTAGTTTCATTTCAAACCAGTACCTGTGTATCTGTTGGAGAACATGTATCTAATGTGTTTTACAAATAATTGGTTTGGTATTCCTTATTTTGATTCTTTGGGTTTGGTTCACTTACTGTTTTAAGTTTTTCCAGATGGTAATTCTTTATTTTTTATGTGAGGTCACATTTCCTTCCCCCTGCATCCCCCCTCCCCAGCATGCCCAAGGAGGTAAATTTCTTGGCAATTCAGCTTGACATTTGTATTGCTTTTACCAGTAAATACTGACATTTTAAATGCTTCTGTTATCTTCCCAGAATATTTTTTAGTTCACTAATATAATGTTTTTTTGCTTCTGCAACTACTATTGAAAAATCTATAGAAAAACATAGAAAATGAAGCAAGATTCCTAAAAATCATATTTGAAATACTTTATTCCTGGCTATTTGTCCTGTAACAGTGTCAATAAATGAACATGACCAGTTGTTTATGATACCTTTCTGTCTTAAGGTGCTAACTCCTCAAAAATTAGAACTGTTAAAAGCACAAATACAGCAAAAAAACAGGAATTGGAATCTCCTATGACAGAACGTTACCGGAAGCTAGAAAATGTAAGTAGTAAGTATTGAAATTCTGTTGCATTTAGAGTAGTGGGCACCAGTTTATAGTTGTTGCTAAAACCTTAGGAAATTAAAACTGAAAGGGGAGCAAAATATGACATTCTTTGCCTGGTACTGTTGCCCCAGGCAGTGAAGGTTGGAACCTTAGAAGAGGGAGGAGGGATATAACTTGTGAAATGATAGGCAAATTGCATGGATATTTGAAGGAAATAAATCTGAAAACTTCTCTGATTTATGTTTCTGTGTTTTTTTATCTAATTTAGGAAGTGGAAAAATACAGAACAGAATATAACAAACTTCGTTATGAACATGCTTTTCTGAAATCAGAATTTGAACATCAAAAGGAAGAACACGCACGTGTTTTAGAAGAGAAGAAGATAAAATATGAGGCTGAGGTACACCGAATGTTACAGTAGCTTAAAATTAATCTGATGACAAAGCTGCTTGAACATGGTGAAAATGTTGGTACTTGATGAGTTGTCAGTTTCACACCATTTCATAAATTAGTGTTTGTTTCCATTCTGGTAATACTCAAAACACTTTTATGACTTAGCCTAAAGCTGTCTCTGTAGGTTTGTTCAGTGTTGTGTCACAATATTATTTGTGCTATTTATAAGAATAGACTTGGCTTCTGATAAATGACAGCCAGTAGCTTTGCTTAATACTTTTTTTTTAATCACATTTGTGATTAAATTTGAGACATTATGCTTATCTGAAATTAATAACTTATCTGAGCAACCAATGTAAATTTAGATTTTAAATTATTTCTGTAGCAACAAATCCAAGAAGGCAGCAGCAGAAGATATTGTTAATACCAGACAAGGGTACATTGTGCAGCTAAGTTGGATCATGACAGTGGTGGTCAAAAGGATACTGAAAACTTTGATAACTTTATTTCAGTTGTATTAACTCTTGAATCAATAATTCATAGTTTTTCTGTTTCAGAATTGGACTTTCGAAAGTGTAGCTAAATAAATTACCAGCTTATTTATGTTTTAAATATATACAGCAGTGTAAAAGAGTGTTGCATGTCATTTGCATATTGATTTAAGTATTTGTCTGGGAGCATATATCCTAAGATGCCAGATTTGAATTTATTAGTCCAAACATGAGAAACAAATCAAAGCAATCATCACTTTCAAAATTAATCCAAATTTGCAAATGCAATGCATTAAAACCAGAACAGTTGTCCTTCCTGGAGCTAAACCCACATGCTGCTTTACAGCGGCTGTCTCTTGTGGGCTTGTTGAGTTTGTGCTAGTCCTGCAGCTAATTAGCACACTTACACAGAATTAAATACCTTGAGCCCAGGGCAGAATGTGATCTAGTTTTTCTCTGTTAGAGCCTTTTTAACCTTCCATGCCATTTAGCACAAGGTGGCTACAAAAATTTCCTAATTCTTCAATGATGGCTTGGGCATGTCATGCAATGAGTGTTCGAATCTCATTGATTTGGAGGGCTTTTGCTGCAGAAATTGGCTTTGCTCCATAGAGATCACTGATGCAACTCCTAAAAGCACTTCTGCAGATCAGAGTTTGGATTAATCTCTAAATGTCAAGAGAACTCTTACATATCTTACCTTCTTTTGCCCCCAGTATTACGTTCAGTCCATGTAACTGAATTTTGAAACACTAGAATCTATATATTTGTAATACATTTGTTAGTTACAGTCTCAAGACTAGTTTGTACCTATTGTGCTACCTTGTAACATAGTTTTATTTATTTATTTTCTACCTGACAGGGCCAAATCATGTTGGCTGTCTTGAGCTACTAGCAGATTTGAGTTCTATTGTGGATATACTGCTCCTTTGCCTTCTACTCTATTGTGGATTTGCTTCATAATCTTCACAGAGACTAATGTGAAGCTGACTGTCTTGTAGTTATCTGGATCCTTCTTCTTGACCTTTTTGCTCTGGGTGTGCTGTCTGCCTCTTTCTGGTCATCAGGGACCTTCTCTGGTTGCAGTGACTTTTTGAAGACGATAGAGCATAGCCTTGCAATGATGCTAGTGAGCTCCTTCAAAATGCTTGGATCCATTCCAAGGATTTTTGTGTGTCCAGTGGATTAAATGATTCCTAACATTTTCCTCCTCTGCTGTGGGTACTGCTTTACTCCCACAGACTGCTAGGAGACTCAGAGATATCTGAGGCCTGAGGACAAGCCTTATCAGTGAAAAGTGAAGCAAAAAAGGCATTGAGCAATGGGTCTGTTGATTTTCCTACTCTTAAGAAAGAAAATAAATGTGAATGTAATTTCTTAATATTTTAAATGCACACTGCTGCTCTTTCCTGAAATGTCAGCTGCTGTATTTATTGCTGCCTGACATCTAACCATTGCAAAACCTCTTTATTTTTCTGATTGACAACTATCAGATTGCAAGACTGGATAAAGATAAAGAAGAACTCCGTAATCAGCTGTTCAGTGTTGATCCCACAAGGGACAGTAAACGTGTGGAGGCACTCTCTAGAGAAAAGGCACAACTGTATCAGAAATTGAAAGGCTTAGAAGCAGAAGTAGCAGAACTACGAGCAGAAAGAGACAATTGTGGTGTGCAAGCAGAAAGTGTTCAAAGAGTACAAGTACGACAGTTAGCCGAGATGCAGGCTATGACAAGGTCTCTAGAGGTAAGAGTCTCTTTATTTATTTTTATTTTGCCTCCTTCTAGAGGAGAGTATAGTGAGAATAACGCTTGGCCTGATAGGACTGCCACTGAAGTCACTGTTAATTTTGCTGTTGATGCCACAATTTGAATTTTTACATTTCAAATTTAAAAAAAAATTGCAAGTATGGTGGGAGTCATGTACTGCTAATTCAGCTTCAGAGAGGTGGAGAGCTCCATGGAGATTCTGTTGAATGATCTTTCTAAACATGTGAGTGATATCCATGTTTGCAGTCAGTAAGATGCTCATGTCAGCACTTGTCAGTTGGCTGGTGTTAGAAAGTGATGACAACATGTTAATAATCTGCTACAGTAAATTTTCTATTCTTTTCAAAAATGTCATATGATGCTCCCCAGTTTCTTTAATCCTTTACTTATATGTTGTCTTCTCTCTTGCCTCCCTTTGTCTCTCCTTTCTCCAACACATTGCTGCGATTGTTTAGTTCTTGGGTGTTGCTCTCCCTTAAAGAACCTTTGCTATTTCTGGCATGTTGTATGTTTCCCAGGGTTTCACTGTATTCCTCATCTGTGGTCTTCAGTCCTCCTGTCAGTTCTTGCTATCTCTAGGTAGCGAGTCTTTCCATGTAGATTTCTTGCACAGTTGCAGCACACAGGTAGATGCTTCACTTTCTGTTTTACTGTTATCAGTGCTGTAGACCTTTGTTACAAAATGCTTTAATCACAACTTAAAAAGAAAAGTGCTGTAATACTCTTTAGAGAACTTAAGAAAAACTCCTGCTAGAAATATGTCAGTTCAGAAAAAGGAAGATGAAATAATAGGTTAGATCACCTGTTTGATATACTTAGTAAAGCTCAGGGTCTCGAGTCTATAATACTGTGATTGCGTTTTATTTCCTCTCCGTGATGTTAGTTCTTCAGCTAGTATAACTGCATAGGCCAATATATGACATCTTTTTGAGCACCACTTGTAGTCATCCTGGTGTTTACAGCCCAGTGATTTACTGGTAGGAATACTTACTGCCTCCTAACCAAGTCAGAATACCTCTGCCTCTTGTGAAGGATTGAAAATGTGTGTGATTCTGTGCAGGCAGTGCTAGCAAAAACAGTTGTGATTTTTCAATAAAATTCAAGACTGTTGTTGTTTTGGAACATGTTGTTGAGCAAAGATAAATATTTTTATATTATATTATTATATAATACAAAAGGTCAGTAATATCTGAAAGCATAGATCAGTTGAACCTTTGAAGTAAATAGCAAGAGACAGACCTGCTCCAGAAATCTTACAAATATCTCTTTTCTTCAAGGCAGAAAAGAAGTCTGCTGAACTACAGATTGATCGACTTGAGAAAGAACTGCAGATGAGTCATGAGCAGAACATTCTCTTAACTGGTAAACTTCATAAATCTGAACGAGAAGTTAATTCATTAGCTGCTAAAGTAAGTGCTTTTATGGTATCTGAAATACATTTTTCATAGCCTGTTATGTTTAAGTTTTTCTGTTTATATTTTACATTAAGAATAAAGGAACAGTGTCTTCTGCTAGGAACCCTAAAATAGGTTTGGAATTTTTTTCCCAGTTTCAGTTGGAAGATATAGAATATGTGACTTTACAGGAAAAACATAATCCTTAAAAGTATCTCCAAAGACTGAGCTTCTGGTCTTTTTATTTAATTTTCTAGATCTTTTTGCGAAACTGAACAGAGCTTGAAGAGGTGTCGTTATGTTAATATTTTTAGTATTAATGAAAATAGCCGGCCTTATTTGATGGAAACAAGCATTACTTTTTCATAAAGTGTATAAAGTGCAATAGAACTTTAAATGGATTTTTTTTCTTTTTTTTTTTTTTTTTTAAATGGAGCCATGGCTTCTGGAGATCCTAAAAAGTATCCTCTGAATGGGCTGTGTTAGCTACAGGAAGCAAGCTGCACTGGAATCACCTGCAGAGATTCAGGTTCTATTAGAAGCAGGATAGTCACATTAGCATAGCGTTCTTCTTGGGCTAATGCCAGCAGAGCTTGTTGTGGGGGTTTGACCCACAGTGGGGCCA